GTCTATACAGCCCGTTTATCTTTCTCATTATTACCGATCGTCGATTAAAAGGAGCACTAGACAGTACAAGTTCGCATCTAACATGAGAATCAGTTTTAGTAAAAATTTTGATTAGACATGCATCATCGTCGGTTTAAGCTTTTATCCGAAAGAGTAAGAAAAAGTTTATTTCTTTTGATCCATCGTTCGGACTCCTGTTTAAATTATGCGATGCTTATTTTTCTAAGAATAAACAAGTACTTTCACATACGTGGCAAGAATTGCAAGTCCTTTAACTGTTTCCAGTCATAATTCTCCGTTATTTGAGTCAATTGCTCTTTGATTTTGTTTCTTTTGGAGTCACTACTGGCCATAATAGCTACTTTCACCCTAAAGACATAATAAAGATGGATAATGATGAATATTGCAATGTAACTTTCTATAATCAAACTCACGTGATCATCTTCTCGCTCACATGTTGTTGCGTTATTGGCATAACTAAGGGATTCTCAGTGGGTAGTCTTGGCCAAAGTGGTTCGTTTGTGTTGAGAAATGAATGAATCGGTGAGAAATAATGCAGACCATTACATTTTATTGCACAAAATATGGCTAATTGATACGTTTCATAATTTTTAGACATCAGTGAAATATTAGAATCGGTTAACTAAATAACCAATATAGCCAGTTAATATAAAAAGATAAATAACACCTAATATACTCACTTCTATCTGTGGATATCGGCCTTCCTCTGTTTTAATATACGATGGATAATTATAAAAACCATTTTTTCTAGAATGGTAATAAGTTGACAATAAAGTACCTATTGTCATTTTAAATATTATTTACGGTTGTTTTGCAGTAGCATCTGGATAAATGTCTGTCAAATACCGTTTGTCTTGTTTTTCTTTAACATCATTCATTACAGAAAGACGTTCCATTCCATCTATAATATTAAAAAAATAAGGATAGGTTGGATGAGGAAATAAAACATACCATTTATAGTTTGTAGTGTTGTTGTTTGAAATTGTTGTTGTGCCTCACTGGAGATGATGTTGAACGGTAGAGTGTTTTCGTTTATTTTATCGGCTTGTGCATGTTGAGCACACCATGTAACTGGTAATAAATTTGTTTTCTGTAGACCACGCGTATCGCTTGCTTCATACCCATCTACCGGGTCCAGGAAATTAATTGGTACTGTCTCCATATCCATTAGTCTGCTTTCGTTGTCGGTGTCAATTGTTTCGTTGAATTCATATAGGAGCATTTCAGTATCTGCAGTTGTTACTCTACCAAAATTCGGCTGGAAAGTGTCTAAAAACAACAAATAAACAAGGACAAGTAGATTAAAGGACTAGCAGTTATTACATAAGTTCATACTATTTGATTGTTCATAAGAATCAAGAAATTGATTTTTCAAGCCATTTGGATAAAATTTCTCCGCAAAATTTTCTTCAGTTGTATTTATTTCTGCTGTTGCTAATGTTGTTGGTGTTGTCGTTCTTATTGGTACCTTTGAGTTTGGGATAGGAATAATTGTTACCGTACCTAAAATTACATATTACGTGGTGATAGGTAAATGTTTATCGATCAAATTGTATGTATAGATCTTGAATACAGTTAGATAAGGCTAAACATATTTTTTTGAACCAAATGGGGCAAATGTTCGCAAGTATGTTCGAATTCGACTGACTAACTACGCTAAAACTTATATCGTAAAAAGGTACTTACCGGAATTGCTTGAATTTTGTGCATTTTGAAAATCGTGTTGCTGTTGTGGACTCAAACCTTTTTTCATTAATATTCTGCATTTTAATTTGATGGTCGGATTAACGATAAATAAAAATTTTAATTCGAAAAATGAACCCTTTGTAATATCTAAATATTCATCATCATCCAAATATTGGAAAATGTCGATATGATTATGATTAACTGTTTCATAAACACCATATAATCGCTGATTAAAGTCTTCAAATTCATCAGATTCTAACAAATATGTACGACGACCATGATCATCATATTTCAATACAACGGGTATTGATCGAGCCATTGTCTTGTTTTAGCTGTTGAATAAAAAGAAACGTGTTTTCGCTGCTTACTACCTCTTTTCTCCTCAACAATGCTGCCATTTCTTTTCTATTCTCTACTACTGATGTTGGTCTTTTTCTTGGTTTTTTTATATTCAGACTTGGCTTTTTTTTCCTTCATCTCAATAAAAATATTTTTCTCGCTTGAAAAAAACCAAGCGCACGTTCTTTCGACTCTGCTTCATACAAAAAATAAAAAATCTCACAAAATAATATGGTCACTTATGACGAAAAATCATCATCCTAGTGTAAAAAAAACAAAGGTAAAGAAGCCTTACTAATCGGAATTTATCTGAACTACTCACAACATATCGGAAATATTAACATTAATTAAAGCGTTATATCATCAAGATGGAACAAGAAGTGATGATTTTTCTCTATTACAGTAATCGAATGTATTCATTAGTTTGGAATATCGACGAAAGTTACGAAGAGTTTATTGGAAAGATTGAAAATTTAATTCATATAAATTTAATAACAAAATATACATTACAATTGTTCGATGATGATGTAGATGAATATCTTGATTTGGATGAAGAATATTTTGATAAAATGAGACAAGGGCTACTATCGTCGCTATCATCCTCACCCGCATCGCCAACGTCGTCAACATATGAAATATCGTTTAAAATAATTAAAAATACTATTTCAGCAAATTTTCAGTCGATTGAACCAGAACATACGGTAAAAGAAAACTTTAGTAAAAACGATCAGGATAATCTGACAACAGAACAACAGCTACAAGGATATATTATTGATCTTACTGCTAAGAGATCTATTGAAGGCGGTCGACCACAGCTGCAAAATGTGCTTGCGAGAAAACTGGAAAACGATGATGAAGTGTCACTGGAACAAGAACATGGAATGGAACCCATAGAATATTTTGAAATTACCGAAAACTGTATTGAAGGGTCTAACATACAGCCAGTAGAAGTGATTAAAGAACAAGAAATTGACGATGACGAGAGGGAGGACCATGTTGATACTGGAATGAATCTATCGGAATTATGTTCTGACATTTGTTGGAGGAAGCTCATCCGCCTAGTACAATAAGTGCGCTATATTTTCGTCAAAGGACTCTTGCTATACAGTGAGGACAAATGCTCAAACAACTAAATTCATTCTACAAACGTAATACAGTAGACGTCATAAGTCTCGCGCCACTTGTTTTTATTTTGACTCGTGTATTAAAACTACACAACATTAATTTAATTTGATTATATGTCTGTATAGTAGAGGTCGAGTACTATATATATATACACCTGTTTAATATGAAAAATCCTTGAATATAAAATGCAATAAAAAGTGACAAAGGTCAGTCCTAAGGAAAAAATGACATAAAAAAGACGAAATGATATTGTTGTTATAGGATACTTCCATGGACAGTCAACCACAAAAAACACAAAGTATTCAGAAAACTTCTCATTTTATCAGACTTTGTAGAGCTTTTTTCGCTGATCGTTTTGGTAAAAAACATTTTGGATTTTATTGAGAAATGACGGCGTTATAGTCAAAATACTAAACACTGTGAAATACCGCGTGTCCCAAAATGTTTGCGACATAGTTTGTTTTGGGAATATCTCTGCACAGGCAAATGACAAAATCTTGGTTTTTTTTTCAAAAGACGCGTCGTGAAAAGCTCTACAGAACTGTAAGACTCTTAGAGTTTTGTAGGTTCTGTAGAGCTTTAAATAAGGATTTGTTGAACAAATTCTTATTGACTTGTTCGCATGGTTTCTTCCATACTCGAAATGAAAAAATAATACATGATAGTGCTACTTACCACCGTATTTAACATAATAAAAATGTTTGGAAGACTGTTATATTTTGCATGTATCTCGGCTTAAGAAAATGGTAGCACCTTGATTTTGTTTTCAAAAGATGCGCCGTCGAAAGCTCTATAAAATCCGTATAAACAATTCCTATTGTAAAACAAAAACGTCTTTCAAACATTTTTATTAACATTTTGTCTTTTGTTATGTCATTTTTTTCTCACGACTGAACTTTGTTTTTCTTATTCTATTTTATATTCAAGAGTTTTTCATATTAAACAGGTGTATATATATAGTATTCGACCTCTACTATACAGACATATAATCAAATTAAATTAATGTTGTGTAGTTTTAATACACGAGTCAAGATAAAAAAGTGGTGCAAGACTTATGACGTCTACTGTGATTATAACCTATAAATTCGAACGGCCAAAATTCTAATAAAAATAAAATTAAGCGGCATGATTGTGACACTAAATGGATTGGGAAGGCTATACGACAAAAAATACAACCCAACCACTTGTTCGAGGGGTACTTCGAGCGCTCGAAAATATGCATTCGACGGGCCCTCGCCGAGACCTCGAACCTTCAAAAATGACACTTCAGACTCTCGGTATAAGCTTTCGAGGGGTTATCGATTTGGCGTCTTCGGATTTCAGATAGGTAGCGAGCTTTCCGAGTCCTCGTTTGCCCGAGAGTGCGATGAGGACTGTGAAATCCTGAACATCTCTGTTCGATGGCTCGAAATTTTTCTTGAGAGCTCGCTGCCTATCTGAAATCCGAGGGATCCAAATCGATAACCCCTCGAAAGCTTATATCGAGAGTCCGAAGTGTCGCCGCAGCTCTTAAATGGCTTTTTTCATCTACATAGGAACAGACAATGAAGAGGACGCTAAAAAAGCGGCAATACAACTAACATATAATTTACATAGACCCAACATTGTGCACAGCAATTAAAAGAGTGTTTTAAGTGGCCATGTAACTAAAAGTTATGATCAACAAAAGTTAAGAAGGGGTGACAGAATTGCTAAAATATAAGTCTAACAACAATAATTCGAAACAAACATGTTTATTCGTTAAATGATGCTATTTCTGATTTTAAACCGGAATCAGCATTAGGTAAACACGTTGTACAAACAAGCTATTCTATAAATTTTAACAACATAAAACAATATCCGTCCATAAAGGTAAATCGGTATGAATCTGCACTAGGGGTATTAATTTAGTTTTATTGTTCATTTATAATAATGGATAAAAGTAAATGAATCATTTATACTTAAAAAATAAAGATAAATTCGTCATTTATATATAAAAAATAAATGTAAATAAATGAAAAAA